TCGATAGCAAATGTAATTTTGGGCTCAAGAGCCTTGTTAAGTTTGGCCTTTAATTTTCTAACTTCACCTTGCCAAATATAACAAGTATCGCATCCAAAGTTGATGAATCTGCTTCTAAGGTCCTCACAACCCGATTTAGTACTTTCCACCATGGAAGCCTTAAGTTCCTTAAGTTTCCTTTCAGACTCTTGAATTTTGTGCTCTAGGTAAGTAAATATTCGTTTGTTAGAGGCAAGCCTCTTAAAGGCTTCTTTTGCTTCATCGTGTAAAGTATTAAATGCAGCTTGTAATTCGAAATGAGACATATTTGAGGAATTTTCATATTTAGAGTGACGTACCTGTTTTTTCTTATTCTTTTGGTGTGCGGAAAGACATAAGTTCACGGATTCTTCTTCATCACTTGAGCTTTCATCATCAGAGGAGGAGTCGTTATCGCTTTCCCAAGCTATATATGCTCTTCTCGGCTTTGATGACTTCTTATATGACTTAATAGATTCCTTTTCTCTGCCCTTTTTGTTTAAAGGACAATCATGTTTATAATGACCGGGCTTTCCGCATTTGTAGCACGATCCTCTAGTTTTACTTCCTTTGGTGTCATTATTTCGAGAGTTCCTTGATTGCTTTCGGAAGTTGACAAGGTTCTTTTCTGAGTGTTGAATGTCGTTCTTTCTCACATACCGATTGTAGGCTTTATGAACAACCCTATAGCCTCACTCTTGTCATATTCTTCATCGTCACTTGATGAATAATCATTGTGCTTCTTAGATTGAAACTTCGAGGAGGAAGTCTTGAGAGCAATAGATTTCTTCTCAATAGTCTTTGTTTTGTCCTTCTTTTCTTTCTTTTCATGTTGGTCGAGGCTTAGGAGCACTTGTTCGTGCTCTTGTAGCTTTCCGAATAATGTTGTTAAGTCCAAAATTGTGAGGTTATTTGCTTCCTTGATAGCAGTCACTTTCGGCTGCCATTCCCTGTTAAGAAATCTCAAACTTTTGTTAGTAGCAACATCATTGGCCACTGGCCTACCAAGTGAATGCAATCTATTGATAATATGAGTAAATCTCTTTTGCATGTCCGCAATGGTTTCCCCTTGCTCCATGTAAAAGAGATCAAACTCTTGTGTTAATGTGTTGATTTTAGCAAGCTTCACATCATTTCCTCATGGGCGACTTGAAGTGAATCCCACATAGCTTTTCTGTAAGACAATGAGAAACCCGATAATATTCATCAACTCCTAACAAGGAGATCAAAATATTCTTGGCTTTCCAATCATAGTTGTATTTCTTTTCATCATCATCCGTCCATTGTGCTTCGGGCTTAGGCACAATCTCATTATTTTCATTAGTCATGGTTATTTCCATTGGACCATTGATAATAACATTCCATACTTTTCTATCTATGGAATTTATATGCACCCGCATACAGTCCTTCCAATAACTATAATTTTCTCCATTACAAACGGGAGCTCTATTATAAGCCCCTTTAGGTTCGTTTGCCATTTTCTATCAAAGTTATACTCGAAGCACGGAGTGAACCGGTGCTCCTGATACCACTTGTTAGACGATGGCTTGGATCTAGAAGAGGGGGTTGAATAGATCACAATTAAAATCAGTCGGCGCTACCAATTAAAAATTGGTTTTTCAAAATATTTGTTTTCAATTTGCAGAAGCGGCCGTGGAAAAATTACGTCTAAGAACGAACTGTTATTAGAAGACCGGATATAAGTCTAGCCTTATGGAAATGATAATGAGCAAAATTTGATTCAACACACTAGTCACACTATCAGTTGATTTTACCACTTATTAGTAGAACTAGCACCAATGATCTATAATGCCCACAAAGTAGGTAAATGAGCTAAGTACACTTTGGTGTGGGCAATTTATCAAACACTTGGTATGCAATACACTCCAAGTGTGGTTTGGCTTGAGTAAGTTGCTTTAAGTTCCTTGTACAATATATTGTTGCACTAAAGTTCAAAACAGTAATAAGTACTTACTCAAATCAACCCAAATTATGATATGACTGCTTATACTAAAATTACTTAAATGTTAAGCCAAAACTGAAAGTGCTGAAAAGTAAAGGAGACAAAGATTTGTTGAGGCAGTTCCCCCGCCGTCCTCGCTTCGGGGTACGTCTGCCCTCAATTCTAATAATAGAATTGAGATCAATATAATAGATATCACCTGTAATGTAGAAATGTTTATACAAGAATTGATAAGCAAAATATACAATCAAGCCCTCTTGATATTGATGATGCTATCACTTCTTGCTCCTTGATTCGAGTCGAATCAAGTTCTCCGATTATTGTGAGTAGACCTCCGATTCCAGCCCTTTTGTTGAATAACCTTCCGTTCTTCAAGCCCTCGGCCCGGCTGATCTCACGCACAACCAAATCGAACCCGGAACACTCTTGAACGCTTCACTGATTTCCGCTACTAGATTGACAAAGACTACCGCTTCTCAATCACCTTCACTCATCTGAAGTAGGTAGAGATGATCCGTACCGAAATACCCCCAAAATCTCCAAATCTTGGAGGGCAAAACCTGTGGGTTGTAAAAGATGAAGATTGATGAATTTTGATGACACCTCTTTCACTTTTCTTGTTTTATGACAATTAACTCAAATTCACAATTGTTGTTGATAAAACTGAACAAAGTCTCTATATATAGTAACCAACCAATCACAAAACTTAACAGCTTTTCAAACACAGTGAGAAGACTTCAAAAACAGTACCAACGCGCGAACGGTCGACCATAGCAGGTCTACGCGTCGACGCATAGCCTGCAGATTTGGATAAATTTGAAAGGCCGTCAGTGTGCGTCGACCATAGGCCGGCGTGAGCTGACCCGTGAGAAAACAAAAGCTTCATGCGTCAACCTTGCGGTCGACTCATAGTCTTCATGCGCTGACCCGTGACGATTTGCACAGATGCATGCGCTGACTCAGTGGTCGACTCATGACCTGCAATTCTGCAAAACTTGATACTTATGTGGTTCTTTATGCATTTTGTCATAACCACATATCATTCACATATATTGTATTGAGTAAAGCACATTAAATGATATAAGAAGGATATGGTGGATGGAATATTTACATTTGTCTTTGTAGAGGTAGAATCGATAATGCTGATTCATCCATGGTTGCAATTTGTCATCATCGAAACTCAAGATCGTATGTTGTATGACGGTTTGCCCTCACAAGAACCACTACCTAAAAGTCGTTAAAAGGAAGACAAAGACCTACCTGGAAAAATAAACACTTATGGAGAGGAAGAACGCGTCCCTCATATTTTTTGCACAATCTTTTGTCCTCTTCTGGTGAAATCACCCCAAATCACCGAAGGAGCCAACCTTTATGAATGGATTGTCCAAGAATCCTTAAGCGGCGAAAATGGAAATCATATATAACATCTTTTGATCTACCAATGATGGTTGCCCTTGAATTCTAGACTCCAGGCCGATTTTATGGCCAAATCAGTCCATTCATGCTTCATTGCCAATAGATATAAATGAAAAATCATGAGATAAGGATGCTATTGAGAATCTAACCACCACATTACTTCATTGTGAGTATGGTCATAGCCGAAAGCGCGATGATGCGCTTTGACATACACTTGGAATACCCAAGAATCTAGACGAGCAGTAACCCATACATCTTTTGTAACAACACCGTCTCTCAAGTTTCTCATGAAAATACCCAAGAATCTTGGCGAGTAACAAATAAATGCAGTAAAAAGGGAGTCAAGATCGTTACCTTTGATAATCATATCTTCTGGTACACAAAGAGTCGATTCGCTTGAGCTCTGAAAGGGATGTCAAAGAAGAGAAAGAAAATTTTAGGGGAATAGTCATTAAAACGCAAGATCGAGCACATTATGGAGAACAAAAAAATCCTCAAGATCTTACAAGCAAGAAAAGTAAAAGGAGGTTAAATTCCATCTTTCAAACTTTATATATTGGTCACACAATCCCAAGATCGACGATCAAAGATCCAGAAAAATGTATTATCACCACCAATGATTCTGATTTGGCCTCGATCCTCCCATGACACACGAGTACTCTAAAAAGATCACCTCTGCCTCAAAATCTAGGGCCACGTGGAGAGATTTAACTACGAAATATTTTGGCTACAAGACAGATTATTAATATGCGTGTTTCTATGGAAAACTATTCTCATTCTCCACATCTTAAACCACAAAGTGACGATTTGATCGGCAGTTGTCAGACAACCCGTGAGGACGGCCAAAAGAGGTTGCCTCAGTATTCATTCACAATCCTAACTTCATGAATGGAAGGTTTTGGGGACCCACCTAATTCAAATGGCCCAATATATGAACCCTCTAGACTAAATGCAAACATATAGACCCTCATCAGAAGGCCGCACACCGAATTCGGCCTACTTGCTTATCATCAGCCACCATATCTAATCAAACAATCTCCCGCATCTCAGGTCAGACCAAATAACAAAAGTTTTAACCACTCATTGTATATAAGCCTTGTCATGTGCTATGTAAAAGAAATTCATTAGTTTACTTTTGCAAAGTTAAACCTTTGTGACCCCACTCACTTGAACATTTGAGTGTTAATTTTCTAGATATAGCCCGCTCCTTCACTTCAGAGACTTGTACTACCGAACCGGATGTACTCCTTTCCTTTACATCCCCAATCTCCTCTTCCACATGAGAGAATATTTAACTTAAGAATATTTCATTGTTTTAAGCTTTTATTCATTAAAAAATTAATCCCTTTAAGGATACACAAAAGGATACACAAGATTATCATTTAATTAAGATATTGTTAAATTCAGTCAAACACGATGAGCACTGAGACGAAGTAAATTAAACCAACTGGTAATTTTATAGGAATATATAAATGTAACACTTTCTAATATACCAAAGTGTTTTACTATAAATTAGCTTTGATCAGGTTTCCACATTCATTACCCTCTAGTATAATCTACTTCCTCGTAATTTTATCTTAGGCTACTAATTAAGTAATTAACGATGAACAGATCATGTAAACTGACTTGTTATTACTTCTTGCTAATCAACATGTTTCTGTTACATTTGACAGTAAGGTCTCAACTGACAACAAATTTTTACAGTTCATCATGTCCTAACCTTACCAAAATAGTGAGAAAAGAGGTTGTAAAAGCTCTTATGAATGAGTTTCGAATGGGCGCTTCTTTGCTTCGTCTTCACTTTCATGATTGCTTTGTCAATGTAAGTAACTAATTAATCCATATACATGCATGCATAATTTTGCATGTATATTATATATACTTAATTTGATTGCTTAAAATTTAAAGTTGTTATTGTGTTTATCAGGGTTGTGATGGATCAATTTTACTAGATGGTGGTGCTGATACTGAAAAATTTGCTTTTCCTAATGTGAACTCTGTTAGAGGATTTGATGTTATTGATACAATCAAAACTTCAGTGGAGAGTGCCTGTAGCGGCGTTGTCTCGTGTGCTGACATAGTTGCCATAGCTGCCAGAGATTCTATTCTCCTTGTAACTATTCTGTTAATTTTTCATTTAATTTTACTTATTCTGCACCCTATTCTTTGACCACACCACCCGTTTTTTAACGAGGCAGACCTAAACAAGACGGACATGATCATTTGTCGTTCCTAATACAAAATTTTGCTTTGGTTTCAACCGGTTCTTAATTGACAGAGTGGAGGTCCTTCATGGAATGTTCTGTTAGGAAGAAGAGATGGAACAGTCTCAAATGGATCTCTAGCAAATGTGGTTCTTCCTTCTCCCTTTGATCCACTATCTACTATTGTTTCAAAGTTTACTAATGTAGGACTCAACCTCACAGATGTTGTTTCTTTATCCGGTAATTAAATACTCAACTTCATGCCATGAATCTATTTACGCTCGATTTAACTGTGACGAATTTTGAATATTACAAAGACTTCCTTACGAGTATGTTATATATTTTTGAAGGTGCTCATACAATTGGGAGAGCAAGGTGTGCACTATTTAGCAACAGATTGTTCAATTTTTCCGGAACAGGTTCAGCAGACAGTACACTAGACACAACCATGCTCTCTGACCTACAAAGCCTATGTCCTCAAACTGGAGATGGAAACACTACTGCTGTTCTTGATAGAAACTCATCTGATGCATTTGACAATCATTACTATAAGAATTTGCTCAATGGAAAGGGTCTTCTTAGTTCTGATCAGATTCTGTTTTCTAGTGATGAGGCCAATTCAACTGCTAAGCCTTTAGTTCAAAGCTATAATGATGATAGTACACTTTTCTTTGGAGATTTTGTGAAATCTATGATCAAGATGGGGAATATAAATCCAAAGTTAGGGTCTGATGGAGAGATTAGGAAGAGCTGTAGAGTGATTAATTCTTAGTAATGTGTATTAGGATTTGTAAAATGTGAAATAAGTGGAAGATTAAGAGTGTGTTTATCTTGTGATGAAGTGTTCTTTTCAAACAAAATAGAGTTATATATGAAATAAATAAAGTTCTAAAGATAGAAATGTTTGTTTTTGCTTTAGTATTGGATGAGTTTTCAAGTTTTTATTTTATAAGCATATGATTTTATTCTCTCTATTTTTATACTTGGTGAGGAGGTTTAAGTTGTTTACCTAGTGAGAATGTGTAGGTTTGAATTGGTTTTGAAGAAAAAAATGTTCACAAAATAAACAATTTTATTTAGTATCTCTATTTTCGTTGATTTATGATATTTTTCTCTTATTTTTAAATTCAAAATGTTTAAATTTGGGACAAATTTTTACTATAAATAAATTCTTGTTTACCTGATACAAGAAGTTGGGTATAAATTTTTTTATTATGTACTAAGTTAAATAATGAGCTAGCAAGTTAAAGGATAATATGACATTAATGATGTTTAGTAGAAGATGTTAATGAATGTAAACTGACCAACCAAAAAATATTGGATTAAACAATAAGGAAGAACTACATCCACCCCTAAATATAAGATTATCTAAAATAAATTACAATAAGTAAGACAATTTGTTGTATTCATTTTGTTGATTATTTATATAATTTTATAAGTTTATTTTTAGTAGAGAGGGAATTATTTAATATTTGGATAAAAGTATCTAATACAAACAGGAAAAAAATGTAATATAATTAAGGATAAATATTTAAAGAAATAATTAATACATTTTAGAGTCGGAAAAAATTTAAAGGAATTTTATAATTAAGGAAAGAGGTCCGTATATATTAATAAAGGGTAATGTTAGGGCACATGTTAGAAACCACTTTTAGTAAATTTGTATTGAAAAAAGTAATTTAAAAATTAATTTTACATTTTAATTTAAGTTTGTACACAATTTCCAAGATGATACTTCTTAATTTAGTCCTTAACATGTGCCCTAAGGGCACAAGTTAACATTACCCATTAATAAATACATTTTATCAAAATATTTGTTATGGATCAATTACATTAAAAATTATGTTAAAAACTACATCCAAGAATAACCTCATTTACGTCTCTGATCCAACAGACAATCACAACAATGAGTTTCAGCAGAATGGAAAAAGTCCTGGTTTCCAAAATGAGTTTCAAAAAAGTCTTCGAAAATATAATCTTGCATTGTTGAGTCCCAAAGTGTCTCCTAAATATCCACACACGAAATCACATATGCAGGTAATTTTATAAAATCAAATTAGTATAGTTAAAACCATGTAAATTTATAAAAATATATAATTATATATTTTTGTACCCAAGAGTGAATTATACACGCCTAACCTTCCTAGGAGTAGTTGCTCTAACAATAACAGGTATATGAAACTCTACAAGTTATTAAAAAAATAATGAGGCTTAATTTCAATAAATAATATCTAAAATCATGTTTAAAAAAGACAATTTTGATTCATAAACTATCTGAAACAATTGAATCGATTATCTCATATTCTTTAACCATATTTAAGACTTTTAAGTCGTTATCAGAAGACTTCAACTAATTTTAAAAACAAATAAAGACATCGACCATTTATGGACTCAAAGAGCTCCTATACATATCATATTTAGTCTTTATATTTGAAATACTTATCATATCTCCCCAATACTTATCATATTTAGTCTTCATATTTGAAATCATTGGAGCCCCAAAGGTATTCATATTCAAAGAGGCTTCTTGAAGCTCACACAAAATGGAAGACAAGTTATGAAATGTTGAATGCAAGCACAATACTTGTGAAGCTGAAAAGACTTTGGTTGCTTCATATAAAGTGTTTTAAAAAATCACAAAAGTCCTAACTTTTTTCCAATCAATGGAACAAGGTGGACCAAAAAGTTGAAAAATTTCATGTATCTGGGATCTTCATCCTCTAACTTTTCAGATATTGCCTCAAACTTCTCAACAGTATCTAACATCAAGTAAGTGGAATTCCACCTTGTAGAAACAACAAGACAAATATTTTGTTTACATGTTATCCCGACAATTTCAATACACTCCTTAAATTTTGAAGCTCTTTGTGGAGAAGAGCTTACAAACCTAACAACATCGTAGATACTTTCAATAGCTAATTCATTTGTCCATCTCTCGCTACCAAGTTTAAGATATGGCAGCATAACTCATATTTAAAAACAAATCCCTTCGCTTATTAAAGCATTCTTGTTCTTAAGTCTTTTTTCCAAATAAGACAACCACATCATTACTTGTTGCATTATCAAAGGTAATTGTTGACATTTTTTTCTTACCAATGGTTTCACCTTTGTGATTTGGAACTAAACTGAAACTAATAATTTTTTGGGTAGTTCCATGTGTTGTCAATGAAGTGTGCGATGGTGACCATATAACTAAGCTTTTGAGTGGAAGTCCAACAGTCCGTGGTTAGTGCAACCCTAGTACAATCACATTTAAAAAGGGTTTTAAGTCATGACTTTTCATCTAGGTAAAGCTGAAAACAATCCCTATCAACAGTCCTCCTTGAAGGTATAGCCATTTATGGTTGCAATTATCTACATTGTTTCTTAAAACCCTCAACATCAACCACTCTAAAGGGTTGCTCATCAAGGATGACAAAGGTGTAAATGGTCTTCCTACATGTTGCAGTATTGAACCTTTGACTTGAAGAACCTAAAAACCCACCCTCACCACTCTCAAGGTTTCTTTGTGTAGGTTCTTTCAGTAAAAGGTTAGGATTTTTATGGCACACTTTCGAGTGAGCTAACATATTAGATGTTCTGTGTGTTTTATGGTCGCATTGATATATTTTATGACAATCTTTACACACAACTATTGGTTCAGGCTCATCAGATAAAATGTTAAAATCTGATCAAACAGGGAAAGTTTTCCTAGTTCCACTAGCATTTTGTTTCCTTTTTTTCCTATCAGCGAGAAGGGGAGGGAGTGCAACACTGACATCTGCTGGTTTTGTTGATTTAGTAAGGGGAACATGTTGTTCAATCATTGAAAAAATTTGTGATCCAGGGAGTCCTCCCTTACCCCCAGCATCAAGAGAGATGCAACACCCGCCGAGGTAAACATCATCGGCGATAGCGACTGCTAGATGACTCCGGTGTATACGTACCTTCGAAGACAAACTGTACATGCAGGAATTCTTCATCCCCCTTCTTAAGTGCAACGACAAATCCCAGGTGTCGGGCATACTCCAAGAGATCCACAAAGAGATCAACGCCTAACACCTAGGCGGAAGAGAACTCGCCCGCAAGGCGTTACGAGCAGGGTACTATTGGCCCACCATGCAGCAGGACGCCAAAGAATATGTCAAGAAGTGCGATAGAGGCCAACGACACTGGGACATGCACATCGCCCTGCCTAACTAGTTGAAGCACTTTCATCGTTGTGGCCATTCGCCTGGGGGGAATGGACATCCTCGGACACTTCACCATCAGGTCCTATCAAAACAAGTATTTAATAGTCGGCGTGGATTACTTCCCCAAGTGGATAGAAGCCGAAACTTTGGCCAAAATCACGGCCTAAAACATACTACGATTCTACAAGCAAAACATACATGCCCGGTTCGGCGTGCCCCAGGATATTGTAACCAACAACGGGACGCAATTCATCAATAAGAACTTCCAGGACTTCGTCTATAGACTGTGCACGAAACGACACTTCACGTCGGTCGAACACCCGCAGAAGAACGGGCAGGCTGAAGCAGTGAACATGGTGATTCTACGCAGGCTAAAATGTAAGCTAGGAGACGATAAATGATGGGTCGAGGAGTTGCACAACGTCCTCTGGGCTTATAGGACCACTCTGCACTCCACGACCGGAGAAACCTCATTCCAACTGATCTACAGGATAATAAGGGTGATCCCTGTTGAGATAAGAGAGCCCTCCAGGAGAACCGAGTTCCCTCTTCCCGAGGAGGCAAATGAAGAGACGCTCAGAGAAGAAATCGACCTGGGCGAGGATATCAGGTTGAGAGAGTCCCTACGAGAAACTTCTCTAAAATGAAGGATAACTTTGCGCCACTACAGCAAAGTCATCAGGTGCAAGATCTAAATGGGCAGCCTGGTCCTGCGAAGAAACCAAAAGGACTCATGCAAAGGCAAGATCGCCGCAAATTGGGAAGGACCCTATCACGTCCGGGACAAGACGAGCAACAGGGCCTACTACCTCGAAAACCTACAAGGAAACAAACTTACTCGACCATGAAATGCAGAAAAACTTAAACAATATTACAGTTAAATACTCCCAGCGACCTGTCGGCGTCGCGACACATAAGCGCGACATGGTACCACCGCGACTCCTGAAAAGTTTATAACAAAAAAGACAAGAGTCAGCCCTTTGCATGCGCAGGCACGACCCTTGCTCCAGCGGGGATCTCTCACCGAGCTCCACTGCTATCGTACCAGTAGGGCAGAACACCCAGCTCGCGATGGGAGGTTCACGCCCAGGGAAGGGCCTTTGCCAAGGACCTTAACCCCTAACCGACCGGGTACCATCTCCGACCATTCGACTGGTTCCCCACACAGTCGTTCACACCGAATGTCGAGCAAGTAAACAAATAGAACATTCATACATAGAAAATAAACATACAAGCACACACAGTAGAAAATATCAAATGATTCGTTCAAGAAAGTGGGTAGGGCCCATTGTACATAGTTACACAAAAGGCCACACCGACCCAAAAAGATTACATCACAAAATGAAAATAGGCGCGTAGGCCAAAAAAATCAATATGGGCACGCAGACCTGAAAATACCAAAACAAACCTTAAGAGGTTTCCTGCCCCTCTCGCTCTTCCTCCTCAGTCGTCGGGATTTCATCATCATCCTCGGTCCCAGGCACTACCACTCGTCCCTCGACGACCCGGTGATAGGGTCTCATTGTAACACTCATTTTATTTATTTAGTCGTTTTAGTGTTATTTTAATTATTTTGTTTTGGTGTGCCCTTAGGTGGGGT